CTTCTCTCCTAGGCCCAAATATCCTCCTCAACACCCTATTCTCAAACACCTGTAATCTATGGTCCTCCCTGAGAGAGAGACCATTTTTTGCACCCATACAAAACAACAGGCTAAATTATTGTTTTGTATACTTCAATTTTCAGGTTCCTAGAAATCAGACGGGAAGACAAAATATTTTGAACTGAGAAGTAGCAAGCATTTCCAGAATTTAATCTCCTCCTAACTTCCTCATGAGCTTCATTTTGATTTGTTATTGTTGTTCCCAAATATTTGAACTTTGTTACAGTTTCAAAGGACTTATTAGCTACCCTTAGATAATTTTGCCCTCCTGTCTGCTGACGACGAGATACTAACATGTACTTAGTTTTTTCTGAATTTGATACCTGTTATTAGTTATTAAATTCTCTTTGTGGACCAAAATATAATTCTTGATATAGTGAGGTATGCTTGCATCTCATTATTGCTTGGATTCTAATAATTATTATGTATACAAATTGTAATTATCATGTCTAAGAAAGAATTATTAAACAAATTTTGGAATAAGACCTGGTAGAAGTGTCGTTTTGGAACTTTATTAATGGTGTTCTGATCTTTTTCACCAAATAAGTCTTTACTTGTTGATAACATCACATTTTATCTAAATCAAACACTATTTCAATATATGTTAAGGGTAATTCCTCTTATTGCAACCTTTCTGCAGCCATAATAATTACCACACAATAACATAAATTTATTATTGAGAATTGATTTGATTCAACAATCTTGAAGTTAGCAGATTTAGGAGACAGTTTCACTTCAAAGTCCAATACCTTGAGAACTCAAATGTAAGATGAACATTTTTGTGTGCATGTAAAAAAAAGTTAAACAGTTAATTGTAAACTACAGTAAAATACATTCCCCTGACAAGTTTATACACTGTACCCCTGGAACAGAAACCAAGTAAGATAATTTGCACACACAAGCCATAAATGCAACTGTATTTTCCACATATGATTTGCCAAGTGCTTGTAACAATTCTAATTCGTGTAATACTAACAGTGTCCATCAATGATAACCACCAGGACTGCATGGTGCAACACTTAAACTCCTGTTTCTTATTTATGATTATATTAAAAATGTACATTCTTGTAAACACAAGATGTCACATAATACAGATGTAGCATAATACTAAATTAAAAAAATATGAATAGGGCTATTAATCTTTATCGTCCTTGCGTCGCGTCCTGTGTGTGCAGTCCAGTTTTACATGTGCCACACCAGCATAATGCTAAACCGTTAACCATGGAGTTAAAGTCCAGTTGGCGGCCCCAGTAGTACGTGGGTTTAAATTGCATTTTTCCATATGATAAAGGTAAAGAAGGGGTGAAACTAACATCCCCTAAGATAAAAATTAGATCTGGACACACTAATTCAAGTATTACAGACTGTGTGAAAATGTTACTGATATCTTATTATCGGTGTGATGATACGTGTGCAAGTGCACACGTACATAAACACATGAAGACAGACGCCTTGTAGCAATAGTGCAATAACATAACATTTATTTAACCTGTAGGAATCAAGATTTCCACTGTGACGTGAGTGTAGATGGTTTTCTGGACTGTTGTTGCATTTATTCTTTTCATTGTATACCAATATTTTGTAGAACATACTATCTACATCTTCAGTGCTGAAGTGGTGTGACAAAACAGAAGACCACCATCTATACTTTCTTCATTTATTTCAAAACAAGACAGGAAAAGTCACTTTCTATTAATTTGTTAGGAATGAATTCAACTACCTGAATAACATTTGAAGCTTTCATGGCAAATTAACACAGTAAAGTCTTCTTTATTGATCACCCATAGTGACATGGCTGATCACAGCACATATCAAAATAATTCATACAAATAAATACTATCCACAGAAAAGCTACACTTCTGATATATTAACATAAGCAATGTAGACCGCTGAGGATGTTTCACTTAGGTGGTTTTCCAAGTCTATTATATTTTCTGACACCTCATTTTGCTATTTCCTTTCAGATTCTGCCAATTTAACAACATCCCTTTCCACAGAATAGAATTTGGCACATGAAGCCATTAATTAATTTGATTTTACAACTAGTTACAACTGAAGTTATCATATTATATTTGTATAAAAATGGTATCAGCTCATTAGCAAGACCTTGGGACTAGTGTCATATGAGCAATGGCGAGTTCTTTTCAATAAACCAAAGGTTAATACAAATTTTTATTGTGCCCAGTTATTTACTGAACAACTCGTAGACAAAAATAATGCTTTCCCAGTTTAAATGTTTACTGTAAATGCATGAAAACATCAAACTATTGTTAAAGAGGCAGTGATAAACATTATAAGTTTGCCAAATTTCTGTTCTATTGTTCTGCAGAATGTAATGCGATTCATGTGATGCTCATGATAAGCAAGTAAATATTTCCATGTTACATGTGGCACTCAAATACAGATTTACACCATTAATTATTTTGGCCAATAATATGTTTAAATTGTTCCTTTTCTTAAATTTAAAATGTTGTGGGACAGGTAACAGGTTGTGATAAAATGTGAAGAAAAATTGCACAACAACATCTGTGCTGTTGAGCGAGATTTGAACTCGCAACTAGGATTCGTGTTTTTATGTTATATACTAATGTATTAAAAATACAAAACAACTGCCAGCAGTAGTCTTAATAACATAAACATAAATTTTGAATCAGAAAAGTGCAACATCATTGTCTTCAAATACTAACATGTTAATCAAACAATTCAGAAAATTAAACGTTTTTGTACGTCTTTGCAAACACATCACATTCTGCAATAAATAATTACATTTCTTATCATTGATGTCACAGTTAAGTACCACCATTGAAATGTACCTTGTAACCAAACTAATTACAACTGTCTCACATCCCCAGGTATCGGAATATCTACACCATGAAAACACTGCACAGAAAACATATGCCCTTCTCTTTCCTCACCTTGTTTTATGCAATTTGCAGCCCACCTTTTTTTATTCATCCATGCAAACTCTGTTCACTGAAGTCCTTATTTCTATATTCATTTGCACAGTTCAGTAAATCTTTTTACAGAAATTTATGCTTTTCAGATTTTAAAACTTGGCCACACACTGCAGCAGCAAGTACTGTACTTCCCATTCTGTGTATCAGGGTAGAGTTTGCAATGTGTTTCGAGAACAATTGTAATAACACCTACAGAATTTGTTGTTATAGTTCTGTGTGGGTTTTGGTCTCATCTTCACCTGTAAAAAAAAAATACTAAAATGAGAAAGTGCAAGTTACTCATATTTCAGAATATTATACATGTAAGAATATGAAAATATGATTAATTCTGTTATAATGCATGTTCTCTTGTGTTTGAATATAACACAATGGAAGTATGAGGAAAAATGTTTCATAATGCAGGTCTGTTTCGAATATAACATGATCGGGCACAAAGATCCATAGATATGTGATGCAGGGAGAATGCTTTCTACTGAATCAATTATTCATATAATGTAACTTTTCTTTTATAGAGTATTTTTCAAGAAAATAACTATCGTGTTAAGCAGAAATTAATGTATCATTGTGTGAACTGCAAGCAAATAACATTTCACAGAAATATACCATCTTCATATTTAAAATGTTGTGATCTACCTACAGGTCTATACGGTGTTACAATCTGGAAGACCGATATCAACGACTTCACCACTGTGAAAACCTCAAACCTCATATCAAAAACATAGTAAAAATATAACGCAGACTTTAAAAATAATTTCAAACAACACTGTGATATATATGTATGTAAGATCTTCTTCTT